CATTTAGCCAGATCAAGTTGTTTGTCTTTATTTTCCTTGCCAGCCGAAGACAGATGATTCCTGGTGTGTTTCTAACTCAATGGCTGCCAACAGTATATTTGTCTATTTTTATTCATTTTTGGCTTGGTCCACTTCAACCCAAGCAGGTGGTGTAGGCATCAACTAAGAGCAAAAAAAATAATTGTGTTACTATTATACAATGTATTTGTATACTAGTTCTTACAGATTTTGTCAATATGTTATTAGCATTCATTCAATAGGCCATGATGTGCAATGGACACAAGTCTATCTTTGAAAGACCAAAGTTCTTGTAAAGTTCAATTACCAGATCATGCAGCTAATAGGTCATTGTAAAAAAAAACAAATGAATGACCAATACATTATTTGCAACATTATTTTGCAACAACAGTACTCTGGTCAGTTCATTGTGAACAAATCTTAATTTTCAGCTAATTGAAAACCACAAAATTTTAAAAATCTAATCCCACTGATTGTCATTCCTGGTGATTGATGACTGTATGCAATGATTTTGAGTCAGACTCAGACAAGACATGGCTTTCCCATCTGACCCATCAATACTTATACTTTCATGTGTAAAAAATAACATAAGTCATAAGGAACAATATAAATTCCCTCGTATTTCCATATTACTGTTATATGAAAAAGGATTAAGAGTAATCAATATAAATTGAACAAATTGCCCGAGATTCATCTGTGATTACCGTGATTTTATATAATGTATATAATCAAGTCAAGCTGATCAACACAAACAATAAAATACCTGACAACTTCTTTAAAACCATTCTTTAATAGACCACATGAACACAGCTTAACCACAGCTTAACCACATGTCCCATTTATATCTATATTTGGACTATTCCACACGGATATATATTAAATTTTTACGCGAAAACAAGTTTCCCAAACCATATTTACGAAAGCCAGCAGAAAGTTGGAGACGTGATGTAATATGAGACGTTCTTCCGAAGCACGGACCGTTTACGAGCAATGCCGACTAATCCGATCGAGGACTCTTCGGGTAGTGATCGGGTCATCCTCGCTCCCAGGCGCTTTAAATAAAATAAATACAAGAACACTACAGGCTTTAGTGGGATTTGACCAGTTAACACGTTTGACAGTCCAATTAAGAATTGTGAGATGCAACTGCATCACGAATTTTGAGATACAACTTGTGTTGCCCGCTTCTTGTAACGTCCCTGTAGCGACCAAGGCATTTCATAAACAGCTTTGCGCTCGAAAGTAATTTCCTAGGTAACCAAATTCCTTTTATATCAAAGCCCAGATGGGTAATATGTTTAAATACGCAAAAATGTTATGAAAATGAAGACTGATAAATTATGAACTTTTTACAATCTCACGTGTGAAAGAAATTTCATATTTATGAAATTTACTTTTCACATTTGAAGGTGAAATTTCATATGTATCAGCTTTTAATTATTCATATGTGAAACAAATTTCACATGTGAAGCTGGCATTTCATATATGAAATTTATTTTTCACATGTACAGGTGAAATTTAATGACATGAATGGTGACCATTTAAATCATTTTATTACTTAGGAAGCCAAAATTTCATGTATGAATCGTTTTACTTATAGGAAAACGTAATATAAAAAATAAATTAAAATTCATATGTGACAGTAGCAATTCATATTATGAACTTTATTTTCCACACGTGAACGTAAAATTTCATATGATATTTAAAAAAATTCATATGTGAAAAACCAAAATTTGACAAATGAAACAAAAATTTCATATGTGAAATTAGCACTTCATATATGAAAATTCACCTTTCACATGTAAAACTAATAAACGTCATACACGGTATAAATTATTTGATTGGAGACGCCAAAATTTCATGTACGAATCGTTTTACATATAGAAAAACTTCATTAAAAATTAATTTAAATTCATATGTGAAAGTAGCAATTCATATTATGAAATTTATTTTTCACATGTGAACGTAAAATTTCATATGATATTTAAATAATTTCATATGTGAAACTAAAATTTCATATATGAAACAAAAATTTCATATGTGAAACCAAAATTTCATATGTGAAACCAAAATTTCATATGTGAAACTAGCATTTCCTATATGAAATTTACTTTTCACATGTGAAAATAAACGTCATACACAATTTAAATTATTTCATCGGAGAAGCCAAAAATTTCATGTATGAATTGTTTTTTTACACAGGAAAACTAATATTAAAAAAAAATTCATATATGAAAGTCACTTTTCTTATGTGAAAATCAAATTTCATATATGAAGTCTTTCATTTCATATATGAAAATGATCATTTCATATATGAAACTCCTATTTCATATGGGAAATGTTATGTGAAATTTGTAAGGGTCAGTCGGGATTCAGTCCATTTGTATGTCCCGTTTTACCATCAGTATCGATCCGTGAAAAGTGTCACGAAACGAAAATGTAGTTTACGAATGGTGAAAATGGTTGTCAATCCGTATGCATGCGACAGTATTGGACATGTATGGATGCAGTTGTGATGATTTATTTTCTTATTATTACTTCGATCAAGTCACCATTAGAATGCCGGCATTAATTCTTATATTATATTTCGATCGAGTTGTTTTTGGCGAAAATATTATTTGTGGAAATACGATTCACCAAAATCCTGTGCTTGTATGTATAAATAAATTGATTAATTTGGGTCGACGCTTTTTTCGACCCGTTATTTCATTATTTCAGTACACTTCAACAATCAAAATATACATTCTTACCAAAAAAGCTTGTCTCTCCTGTCGTCAGGATTCAAAGGCTTGCATTGTTTGACGATTACATCCTTCTTCGAGTATTATAAGGTCTGAACGTGACATCGACTTTTATACATGTGTGCTTATGTAAGCCCGGAAGAGTGTGATAGACATTTCCTCGTAATACAATTCCTGGTTATTTCCGTCACATGACCTTCATTCAGAAGGAAACCTAAACCTTGGAGACATTTTCTCGCAGTACAATCCCTGGTTTTTTCCATCACATGATCTTTAAACGGTGGCCCAAAAGGGCCATAGCATAAATACAAATAAATCAACGCATTCATTATTAAATGCAAACGAACAATTATACACACAATGCAAACAAATAGTCAAAACGCAAATAAAAATAGTCGCAACGCAAACAAATGGTCAAAACGCAAGTAAAAATAGTCAAAACGCAACTAGAAATAATCACAACGCCGTGTTGAAAGCGAATCCTTCCCTTCCTACTACCACCTTTTGGGCAATTTTGATAGAAGCTCGCGTTCGGCCTCCAATTAAATGCGTTTCCAAATAGGTTTATAAGTTCCAACCAAATTAACCAGTTTCAATGCAGGTATAACATTCCAAATAATGATAAAAATACAGTTAAATACTATAAATTGCCAGCGAGTTCTCTTTAAGGGTATTCAACTGCGTGCGAAAAGGTTAAATGGCTGATTCTTCGAAATTTAAAATGCCGGCTTTCATTTGCTGCAGCAATCTAAACGGAGTCGATGGTTGACATTCTCACTGGATAGAACTACACTCGGCGGAACTTGTATGAGACGAAAAAAGTTGGTTCGGCTAAAACCCAAAAGACATCATTTTTTGTTCAACTTTTGACTTTAATTAATGCACTATTCGTTAACGTTAATAAAATTTGTTCCGAACTCTTGGAAAATTATCGAACGATCAAATATAGTCGGTAAAAGGTTACGAATTGAGATATATATATATATTATATTATATTATATATATTATATATATTATATATATTATATTATATTATATATTATATATATATCTTAAATTTCGAAGAATCAGCCATTTAACCTTTTTTCACGCAGTTGAATACCCTTAAAGAGAACTCGCTGCCAATTTATAGTATTTAACCGTATTTTAATAATTATTTGGAATGCTATACCTGCATTGAAACTGGTTAATTTGGTTGGAACTTATAATCCTATTGAAAAACGCATTTAATTAGAGGCCGAACGCATGCTTATATCGAAATTGCCCGAAAGGCGGTAGTAGGAAGTAGGTAATAGGTTATTTGTACTTGCGTTTTGACTATTTGTACTTGCATTGTGACTATATTTGTATTTGCGTTTTGACTATTTGTATTTGCATTGTGACGAAACACTTCTATCGTTTTGTAAGTTTGTAACTTTACTAACTTTTATAGCAACTGTACATAATTTAATCCGAGATTTAATCGAAGTTGGGGGAGGAAACCATGTTCTTTATGCACTAGATAGACCTCAGAATCCTGACTTTATTCTGCAAAATCTTACGCGGAAAATGCAGGAAATCACATTTGCGGGTCGCAAATTTTTTAAAAAATTTTTGGAGGGGCATGCCCCCGAACCCCCCTAGTATGGCACACGCCTTCGGCGCTCGCATCTCGGCTCTCCAAAACAGTGATCCTGGCTACGCCGCTGCTTAATCACCACAAAACAATTTCCCCTTTTCGATTACGCGCTTCGCTATGAGTGGAAATCAACTTATCAACTTGCCTAAATTATGTGAAAGCTGTTAAAGTTTCGTCATAGTACCCAAGCAGGAAATGGTGTTTCAGCGTTTGTACGTTCCAAAATACCGGGGGAGCAGACCCTTGGACCATGAAATTTAACTTGTTCCATTCGGAAACTTTATTCTATACCCAAAGATATATATTTTGTGCCAAAATATTTACAACTAAATAAAACAAAACAAATCTATCGTGTTTACAAAAATCGTCAGACCTCTGTGGAGGAGCGGGTACGATCAACATCTACTGTAAACTTTTCTAATGCCATTTGATGATTTGATGAAACCATTGGTACCTCGGTCCTCCGCAGGCGCTAGGGAGTATTTCGGGCGATTTCGGACGCCATATTTGCCCGAAAAGGGCCTGCGGAGGAGGTAGAAACATTGTATTATTCTACATATTTATGTAATCTGTGTCTGTGGAATGAAAATGAAATGTGAATATTAATAGTGGAAGCACTAGTTGTTACGAAATACGAAAAGTTGTTATTGCAAATTTTTGCAATTCGGAAATGTCCACGTTATTATCTGTGATAAATAATTAAATATCGTACAAAAGAAGATCGCCTATTTTCTTTTAAATGAGGGATCGTTTGCTAGAAAAATACGCAAAGAAGAAAGAAATGCTCTAGAGGGACTACGACTTTCACAAGTATATCATCCGGAAATGCAATAAAATGAATGTTTGTGTGACCTTACAAGAACGTTCAGTATGGCGGCGCATTTTATGCAGAACACTTGGGCATTGTTTGTCAAAATACAATTGAAAGGATTTGAAACTACTTTTTCAATCAAATCAAGAATGGAATGCGGTGTTTGTAGCAAGACATTTTCGACTAGGGGTAATCTAGTAAGACATAAAAGAACCCACACAGGAATCAAACCTTACAAATGTGATATTTGCGAGGGAAGGTTTTTTCGATCATCCCACTTAGAGGAGCATAAAATAACGCACACGGGTGAAAAACCATTTCAATGTGATGTATGTAACAAGAAATTCACACGATCTGGCCACCTTATTGTACATAAGAAAACACACAGTGTGGAAAAACCCTATGAATGTGGTATTTGCAAGCAGAGATTTTCTCTCATGACTGATTTGGCTGACCATAAAAATAAACATGCTGAAGAAAAATATGAATGTGACATTTGCCATCAAGTATTTACCCAGTCTGGTGCTATTACAAGACACAGGAGAATACACACAGGAGAAAAACCATATAAATGCGACATTTGCCAGCAGACATTTGCTCGGGCTAATTCCTTAAGGAGACATTCATTAACGCATACAGGAGAGAAACCTTATAAATGTGATGTTTGCCAAGAAAGGTTTTCTCGATCAAGTAATTTGGCACGTCACATGATAAGAAAGCATTCTAAAGAAAAGAAAACTGAAAGTGATGTTTCCAACCACAGGCAGTATACCTCGCCTAAAATAAGATTGAATGAGGCAGGAAAGTATGAATGTGAGACTCACCAGGAAAAAAATATGTGTCCACCTGAGGAATTAAGAGGTAGTGCTAAAAAGGACTCTACTCAAACAGGTTTATGCAACATACAACTTCCTGATTGCAAATGCTTGATGCAACACATTAAGAAGGAGTGTGATATCTCATATGGCCAGAGCCACCAGATTGATGTCTGCTCTGAGGAATTGCAACTGAAGACACAGCTTACCAACATTGGGTATGTCTGCTCTTTGTGTGGTATTGCATTCAATACTCTTGCAGAATTAGAAAATCATTTTAATACTCATAACATAGAATAGGTTTGTAAACTTTCAAATTATAGATTAATCATTGGTGTGTAACTTAACTTTTCTGACCACTTGATATTAGGAAAAGCAACAGGAAACATTGTCCAAGTGCCACATGTTTTTTACACCCTTTAAATTGGCTTGATGAGTATGGGGCTTTTTACAGTTACAGTATACCACTGTTAAGTTGTGTTACATTCAGTTAATCAAACCATGCACTTTTGATCTAAAATACTACCACTGGTGTGAAGACACAGCTTACCAACATTGGGTATGTCTGCTCTTTGTGTGGTATTGCATTCAATACTCTTGCAGAATTAGAAAATCATTTTAATACTCCTAACATAGAATAGGTTTGTCAACTTTCTAATTATAGATTAATCATTGGTGTGTAACTTAACTTTTTTGACCACTTGATATTAGGAAAAGGAACAGAAAACAAGTGCCACATTGTTTTTCAAACATCTTGGCTTAATGAGTATAGGCTTTCAGATTTAGTTGAATGTAGCACATTCAGATTTAGTTGAATGTTATACATAAAATGATGTTGAAAATGGTTCACAAGGCTAACATAATGAGATGAATCATTGATAAAATTGTATTCAACTTAAAGAAAAGTTCAAAGTTTTTGAGTAGTGGACCTGCATTGTAACAAATTCATTGTCATTTTTAAACTCAAACTTTTATGCCTTTAAAATGGGACTAGCAAGTATTAAGTTACCATTACAGTACACCAATGTTAAGTTGTGTTACATTCAGTTAATCAAACCATGCACTTGTGATCTAAAATACTACCACCAAAGCACTTGTTTTTTCATTTATCAGAATAGACATTATATAATATTTGATTGCTCTCAACCAATCCTCATCCAATAATTTTATGCTAATAATACATATAATTATACTAGCAGAAAGTAATAAGTAATAATCTCCAAGTCACTTGACTTTTTATACTATGTACTATTAATCACTGCGAAAGTCGCAGCCAGGACGTTGGATGCCTCCCACAACACACACTGCGTGCCTGGAAAAGCCTATAGCCTCGTCGAAGTGTAAGATGGTCACATGTCGTAAACTGAGAAGTATAGTCAAGAGCTATCTATATTTGAATCTATATATGAATGTATATATCATGAAAAATGATAGATTAGATTGAAATATGATCACATTGTATTGTATTGTATTTGTATTGTATTCTCTCAATGGAATTTCGTGGTCGCAATTCCTCATCCTGCGTTTATCCATACAATTGACGGCTAAAAAGATAGGAATGTAGGATTTATCAGCGTTTTATGCAGAATATAGAGTTGACGCTAAAGGCTGCTTTCCACTGTCGCGTTTCTTGTACGTACGTACACGCACGTAAAACTTAAAAAGCTTCTAAGAAGATCAAATCAACAGAATCCAACCGTATCCATCAACTCAATCGTCGATTTGATCATAGGATTTGATAACTATCATTTAATGGCGCCTAATTTAACGTTAAAAAACGCGACAATGGAAAGCAGCCCTATATAAGTACCTTGTGGGATAAATTTTAATTGTTCAATGAATTTTAACTTTTTATCACGGGTAAGGATTGAATCACCTTCCGAAGCCGCAGCTGAAGTTAACGAAATAAACTCTGTGCACGTCCATAATAATTAAACAGGTGTCTTACCTTATACATATCCCACTAGCATTTATTTCACCAAGCTTTTGTATATCCAGCGGATTTTTGTAACAACTGAAACCACAATCACAGACGCCATTAATGTTCCATGGTCCTCCACATTTCTCTCCTTTGATTTTGGCACAGGCAGCGCAACAACCGCAAACATCCCGAGTTAATCCTCCTTTGCAGTTAAGCTCGGATAATGAAAGACAAGTTACTTCCTCACATGAGAGGCAACTGAGAGCTCGAGTTGTTGCGAGAATGGCTGACAAAGCAAAGGCAGTAAGGATGATCGTCTTCATTGTTGGTAGTTAGTGAAATGTCTAAGTGCGAAAATAAAAACCCATATACACTGTGCACGATATTAGCTTTGCAAGTTAAGTACATTACAGTCAATTCATTGGCACGGCACGGCTAAAATGGGTACCCTCGGCCCTATTTTACACGTGCTGTGCCAATAATAAATCGACTCACTATATATTTGTAAAATTGCATTCATATGAAACCGCGGGCCAGCCCGGCTCTGGCGAGATCCTGCCTGAACGAAGCGAGATTCCCAGGATTGTAGATATCATGCATCATGTGCCTAAAATATACCGAAAAGCTTGGATATTTTACCTGATTCCTCTTGATTCTTGTATAGTCTTTTTGCTATAAAGTCTTTTTGCTATAATGCCACCAGCATCTGAAAATATACTGGCAACGTCGATGAGTAAACCATCTTTTATATACGAGTAAATCAATATGTAACTTGGAGGAAATACTTTCTTGCGTATATTTATTGCCAAGGCAACTGTCGTCTAACTAATATCTCATATCATTATTCTCAAGCTTTATTTATTGCCCACTTGTTCTCAAGTGCTTTGTCGTAATATTAAAACGGAAAGAGGAAATAACGTAACTACTTTGTTGCTTGTTTTTAACGTGTAACAGTTAATAGTAAAAAAAAATAATTGATAACATTATATAGTAGTTAGTATATAATTTGTGAGCTCCAAGAAAGCACAATCGCATAGGCATTTTGCCCTGCTATACAAACATGGGCGCCGGAACCACGGGGGAAGCTGCCCCCCACCCCTGCCCTTTGCTTACGGGGGCGAGCGAGGGCAGTCCTGTGCCCTTTGCTACCATATAAAAGTATCATAAATTCAACATTTAATCATGATGCCTACTTTTCGCTGTAATATTACTAAAAATGACTGGTAACTGGTAATATTACTAAAAATGCGTTCTCCCGTGGATTTGCAAGTTCGCATGTTCTGTAAATTTGAGTTTCCTCTTCGTGTGGTTGCTAAGGTAAAATGAATGTGCCCTTTTCTAAAACTCTGCCCCGCCACCCTAAACTGCTTTCGGTGCCCCTGTAATACAAATGTAATTTTTTAGTGTTTATTGACTTGAAAACAATCAATTTCTAAAGAAAATAATTAAAGTGACTCAAAGTTTTTCATTGTGGGACGGAATTGTTCAGGCTGGCTTATACGCCACTGAGAAAACGAACAAAATGTGACTCGTGCTTAGCTATATATATTTAGGATATTTGTATTGGTAACTATTCATCACTATATTTCACTGGTTCCTGCAGTTTGATTTATTTCAACGCAGATAATATTTTTGTACAAACCTCAAGGACGTGAAAAACACTCATTATAAGTGGCCATCGTGAATATTGAACGAGAATATCAATATGAAAGCAGTTTACTTCCACGCAGTACTTTATTAAGGGGAAATTAAAGGAAAAATCTCGATAAAGAAAAAGCGAACAAGAATTAACTTGGTTAGAAGTTCCGACCCCTTAGGTTCCCTAACGGGATGGTTTACTTCACTCTTTGTTGCATGGTTGTATCATTCCGACCTTGATTGTTCCTGCTTTAAAAAATATATGGTCGAAATGGCCAATATTTCATCTACTTATGGAAAATTTTGAAAGAAACTTACGAAAAGTGTGAGAAAACCTTGAGGTTCGTCTTAAAGGATGTCGTTTATGAAGAATTTATAGCGTTTCATTAAAATTATTGACGATCTCAAAGAAGAGCAGGGGGTCAAATACGAAAAATATTTTCCAGCCTTCAGGCGTAAAAGAAGAGTGGTATTTTCATGCGTTACATAAAAAAACATTCGGTTTACTTTTCCTATATTATAAGTTTGACAGTAAGTAATTTGGCGTAATCCACATTTTGTCAAAGCCGGAATGCTTCAGAAAAGAAAATGTGCAATACTAGAAGTTGAGTAATAATCATATATTTCAGTAAAGTTCTTTCAAATGAAGGAGACTTCAATTTTTAGCGAAAAAAGTCGAAATTTAAAGATGTAGAAAAAATGGCAACAGCGATTATTCATTATTACTTAGCACAATTATTAGCAAGCGTTGGCGATGTCGATCTATTAGTAATTAAAGTTACTAAGTGCATGGCCTGCATTTTTTTTATCACCTAATATTTGGATAACGTATGTTTCAATGGTTTTGCTGAGGAAATGTCTCCTCAAGTCGGAAGAATTTATGCTCCATTTAAACTCTAATTTATTTACTTCGAAGTACACAGAACCACTAAAAAACTAGTCATTGCAGTTAGGTACAGGAATCCTCACCGAAGACATCAGTGTCAATGTTTATTTATAATTTATGTAAATATTTATTAAAAATGATATTGATGTATAAATCAAATAATTACATTTTTCTAACATCAAATATTCCTGGTATGATGCCACTTCAAAACAAGGAAATGAGAACAGATAAATGTTATAGATATTTGGCGGTAAAATTTTAATAATGGGTAATAATTTATAATTTTGTAATAATGGGTAAGAAGTTTAGAAAATACATTGTGGTTAAATTAACGGCGGAAATAATTTTCATATACTCGAGGGCAATATAGTAAAGACGTGAGTCTTGTCATGTCTCAAAAAAACAAAAACCCGTGATATAGTTGCGATGCTAGTTAAGAACAATTCTGAAAGCAAATTTGTAAAATTTGTATATTAAATTGCGGAAAACTAGATTGTCAGTGCAATCGAAATTATATATACAGTAGCCGCGGAACCTATAAGTGCTCGGATGGGCTTTTGCCCCCACTTTTTGCTGAGTATTATGTAAATGATCCATATATAACCTCTCTCTTGCAAGGATTCGAGCGTTGACGCGTATTTACGTTCCGTGGATGGCCAGTAGCAATTTTGACGGTCGTTAGCATCATTTAAATACTTATATACCTTAGACTTATATTCACAACTGAATTAAGGTAGCTTATTTGTGGAACTCCGACTAGCGATGCACAGTGGTGGCCTAGTGGTAAGGATGCACATTGTAGCTAATACATGACATGCTTTCATGAGTTTTCATTCACACTCTTCCACATTAATTTTGCTATAATAGTAACAATTTTTCACTTTACATAACTTGGAAGGCTCGAGGGTTAAAATTTGACACGAATTTATAACTGATCTAATATGGCAATCCCTTTCAGTCTTCAGGGTGAGTAAGTAAGGTAGAGAGTCACCCCGAGCTTATCTATATTCCGAACCTGTGGATCGCGAAGAGAACATGTTGTTTAAATATTTGATATCCGCAAAGTTTAACCGAAGCACATTCATGTCGTTGCTACTTGCTAATAACAATATCGATTGATCAAGAGAAATTAAAAGCTGACATTATTTGTCAAGTTCGCATCAAATTTGATGTAGAAACTGCCTCAATGGACCTTTCTTATAATGACGTCAAACGCGGAAAGTCTGATGTTACGCGAAATTTGATTGGCTCCACAAAACTATCGAGCCAATCAAACTTCGCGTAACATCAGATTTTCCGCGTTTGACGTCATTATGAAAAAGGTCTATTGGACACTTCTCGATATTTCTACCTAAGATCATTTGAAGACGCTGCTACGATGCTGCCTTCACGGAACTTGTTTGTCAAATCCTATATAGTTTTATGTAGCTAGTAAATTAAATCCCAAAATATACCCATATTTGTACGAAATTAATGCTGACATTCACTACAACCTTGACGTGCATTAAAAAGGTAATGAACCTCAATTTCAATTATATTTGCAAGGGATTTCATCAAATTTCATAATACCCAAACATCTTTAAATTTGTTGATATTAACTGTATTTCGTGCGAGAAAACTGCGCATGCTCGAAAATCTTTAGTTGAATAATATATGTTTGCAATTGTCGATGCCACAAGATCGATGTTTGATCGCTTGTTTAATTTTTATGCATCATTATGAGTGTAAATTCCGGCATCTTTTGTAGATAGTTTACCAGCCTGCAGTCTACGGGTAAATATTTGTACTGGATTAGGAGATAAGTATACAGATTGGTTGCGCACAACTGAATTTCGTTGTAATGATATTACGCCATTCTTTTTGGAGTAAGATTATTTAATTCCATTATAACAAGTATAGTATAACAAGTATAGTATAATTCAATGTGTAATAATCATGCCAAGAAATAAAAAACTTAATTGAAAGTTTACGGTGAAATTTAACAAAGTGTCAAAGAAGCAAAT